AGTTAAAAATGGCACAATCAGCATTGAACTGAGAAAGTTTATGAGGTAATATGCAAACTCCATAAACATCAGATGAATAATGGAAATTCCTCCTCATAAATACATACTCAATTGGCCCAGGCGACCATTCCTGTTGCAACATTTATTTTACTCTGCCGTTTTTACCTCCCTGCACACGACTATGCACATGAATAATATGAAAACCTCACATTTATCATAATGTGTCAGCTAGAAAGGGACTGCAATTGTATTTCTAAACTAAACTCTGGAATTTTCGCCACGAACCTCAGGTTTGTAAATTCAAGGAAGTTTTGTATTTATTAGTGTCAAACTGTCTGAATAAGCTTTCTGAGTAAATGCAGGTTGAAACAAATTCAGTTAAAAACTATGAAACGTTATACAAAATTATCTCCATGCAAAGATGATGCATGTAGGATTTTAAATAAATGCTAAAGAAACTGATCTCTGCTTTGCAAAATGTCATTTTATTTCCTTCACTCTTTTATCACCAGCTGTCTTAACAGTGTAATGTTTACTACAACAACAGCTTTTGCATTTAAACATGGTTTCCGTCAGAAACAGTTGATTTTACCTGACTGTAAGGTGGTCGATAGCTTAATGTTTGGCTGATTGTCATCATTTTTTTGTGAGAAAGGCTTCTGTAATTCACTTTAATGTCTGTTATTAAACTAACAAAATGGGACATTTACGCAGTTAACTAAAGTCAATTTGAATGAATCAAGCTAATCCAAACAAATTAACCTTCAATATGTATTGTTTGAAACAATACATATTGAAGGTTACGTGACGTTCTTTTATTGGGGTCAGTATTGTGGTACATTTTGTCATGGAAAGAGGATTATTCCAACAGGACAGCATTTTTTCAGTTTTGTAGCTGACACTTGATATTTTGAAAAGGCCAACAGCAAATGACCGGGCAGGCAAGGGAAACCATGAGAAACACAGCATGAGGTAGAATATTCAGGAAGCTGAGATCGAGCTGTGGGATTCAGATTTAACAGGAACATAGAGCTGTTGGTGTATTCTCCTTATGGGAACACATTATTCTAGTGAATCAAATCAGTTACTTTGCAGAGCAACTATATTTAGAACAAACATGAGAATCTGGTGAATTTATCCTTACCAAGCTGCAAAGAGGTATTTTTATTTATTTATTTATTTTTTTAACTTTTTTACTATTTTTGTCCAATACTAACCTAGAAATCTAGTCCAACTGTAATAGTAGTAAAATATTTTGTGGTAAGACTTTACAATAAGGGTCCCTTTATTAGTGTTACTGAGTGCATTGTGAAGCATTAATAAGCAAATAAATAAATAATTAGCTGCATAATCATATTATGTTATAAAGCACCAAATTACAACAAGATTCGTCTCAAGGCACTTCAAACAGTAAACATTCCAATACAGGTTAGTTCATTAAGCCAATCAGTGAAAAGTTTCCTCCTCATACTAAGCAAGCATGCAGCGACAGTGGAGAGGAAAACTCTCTTTTAACAGGAAGAAACCTCCAGAGGATCCTGGCTTAGTATAAGCAGCCTTCCGCCATGACTTGAGAAGACAGAGCAGACACACGCAGCACATTCTCACACCCGAAGCGGCTAAAATTGACGATGGGTGACCAAGCGTTTGTTTCTGACCTGTTGGGACCTGTTTTAAAACTATTCTCCAGATATAAAACTGCCAGCTATTTCATATTTGTAATGATAAACCTCTCCTATAGTTGTGTTGCATGAACTCTGTCCACAAAGATTTGTTTGAAGCTAAATGAGTGTTTAGAGTTCTTCAAGTCTGCAGAATTTACCAACCACAGAGCGCTTACAGCGACTGATTAGTAGGACAAGGTTTCCGTTTGGATCCTTTTGTACTCAGCTATTGGATGAACTCTGACCTTTTGCGTGCCTTTGCACTGACTGATCCAGTGCATGCACTTTAAAATAAACAGTTTCTTCTTCAGATCTATAATTTAATAGCTATGTAAGGATTCTTGAACCACAGCGTGCTTTTAACAGTTCTACCCAAACATTTAGGTTTTATTGCTGCCATCACCTTGGATTAAGAGAGCACGGGGACTGTTTTTAATGTTCACTATGTTATTAAATAAAACTACCTCTACCACTGTTTGGCAGCCACATAGCTGAGTTTGCATCATGATTTGTGATGAGCTGTAAACCTTTCTGAAACCTTCACTCAAAACAAAGTGTGCCACGACTGTTGTTTGGATTTCAGGAGGGGCTCGCTGATGTCTGTTTTGTCTCTGGTTTGTCTGTTTTTGTGCCTCTTAGGGCTGTTACTGAACATGTTGGATGCCACAAACAGCATTTCTGTAGCTGCAAAGGACAGAAATATAAAGACTCTTATTTCTTCATGCATTTAGTTCTTCTCAAAGACAGTGCTTCGGCTCAGATAACATCTATATTGGATTGTTGCATGCGTTCAAGGATTAGTAAGAGTCATTGATTTGGTTTTAACAGTGGCGGCTGGTGAAAAATATTTTTGGTGGGGCTGTGCTATTTTTTTTTAAACAAACTTGAGCTTTCTGAGCTTTGTGCACAACTTCACTATTTCCTGAATTAAGCACAGCTCTTTTATTTCCTGTCTTACATCATTGGACAAACTGATTAATCCAGGTGTGTCTGACTATTGGCAAACTGCCTTGCAGACCAAGGTTGAAAAATACTGCATTACTGTAAATTGCACATAAAATAACATGACCATAAATGGTAAATAGGCAATGCAAGAGGCAAGTAACAAAAACATTTTGTTTAATTTCAACATTTGAGTGAACACGAAAAATTATGAGCAGGTCACTGTTACAGTAATGGTAGTAAACACTACTTAGACAAAATGCCAGAAATTTACACTGTTAGGACTTATGGAAAGTGGAAACACTTTCATAGGAAATAATGTCATCAGTATCCTCTTACAAATGTCATATTTCCCACTTTTTGGGACAATAAAACATTTCTGGTTCTCAATGAGATGTTTTTACTTCAAATGTAAAAACATCTCATTGAGGAAGTAAAAACATCTCATTGAGAACCAGAAATGTTTTATTGTCCCAAAAGCTGGAAAATTTGTTTGCTGCAGCAGAAGTGTAACAAGTAAAATGGAATCAGATTGATGTATGTACAAATTTACTTGAAATACACATTTACATGATTAAATATGTATAATAGGTATCTGTGTTGAAATTAGTTTTTACAGTTATTGCACATTAAACAATGTACATGTTATTAAACAAATGTCCCGGTTTGTGGGACAACCAAGGATTTCTGATTCTGATTGTCTTGTTCACAGAAATGTAATGTACAGCTTACCTCTGCACCCAGCTGTTGTTCTCCCTGTCCAAACGTCCTCCGTTTCTTTGTTGGCTGCTGCACTGATGCGCTGCATTCCTCAGTCAGAGAATGAATGGAGTCCCTAATGAGACACAAGTTCCACATCCACATTACTGTGGATCCCAGCCGTTTTGAATAACAAACACAGAAAGCAAAATAACGCATTAGTGTGATTGCATCCAGCTAGCCACTGCTTCCTGGTGTACCAATTTTGGGAGAAGCGTCGTGTGTACAGTTTACCCTTCTCCTTGTCCTGCTGGCTTATCTTTACGTCGGGCTGATCTGGTCCAAGCTCTTTGACATTAAGTTTTTCCACCATAGTTCTCCTCTCAAACGGATACTGGAGAAGAGACCGAACTGAATTCAGTGGCTGCTGAGATCAGGTATCCTGATTGTAGGCTCTGCGTCACGACCAAAAACGTGCTGGAGTAGTCGAGACTTCCGAGTTCTACCGAACACCAACGAAAGCCTTTGGCGGTAGCTCTATCGCCCATCATGCTTCTGAAACAACGTCGACGCTGATTGGATACATTCCCATTCCTACCGTTTGATTTTCTTGTCAGCAATTGGTCGGCTGGTGCCGTCCTGTTTGGGCGATTGAAACACAGCCCACAGCCTTTCTGTCGCCTCCACAGCTCGGCAGAGACCAATATATATATATATATACATGTATATATATATATATATATATATATATATATATATATATATATATGTATATGTATATATATATATATATATATGATTTGTTTTTGTTACAAAACACACAATTAACTTAGAATATGTGATTATTGTTAATTTTATTTATTTATTTTTTAAAATAAAAATTAAAAACGCTGGGGAAAACTGGGAGGGTGGCGCCCTATCGCCCTCTACTGGCCAGCCGCCACTGGGTTTTAACAAGTTTTCCGTATGGTTATTGATTTGGGATTGGACAATCTGTGATTTGAGCAGTTGATCTGGTTTGTGTCTGGAGCAAAATGCTAAGTGAGCTCCATAAATGAAACGAGCAGCCAGAGGAGCTGCTGTTTGGCGCATCAGTTGAAATCTGCACCTTTTCTCTGAGACTCTTGTTAAAAACAGCTTTGCTCCAAACTTATGGCATTTTTTGCATTAAAAGAAAAACCTTGTATGAGATCATGTTGATTATGTGCAAGTAAACAGTTTTGCAAAGAACAAATTAACCAATGACATCAGCCAAACAAATGGGTGTGGTAAAAGAAACAAAAGGCTAAATTATGATGTGTGCAGCAGAAGGAAGCAGGGTTTGCTTTGGCAAGAGCATCAGCAAATAAATGTATGATGGGGCTCTGTTCTGAATACATATAAACACCCAGTCACCTGCTGAGTAAATTAAAAAGGCAAAAGAGGCACATGTTTAAGCTTTTATTCCTCAGAGACATTTTCTCCTTTTGATTTTACATCAGAATTTCTCCTATCCATGGTTCTTGTGTTTGACATTGCAGTTTGATTTCTAGATTTACAAATTCCTTAGTGAGAAAACTGACATCAGTCATTAAAAAAGCAAACAGATGCTGCTTTTAGCCTGCACTGGCTTAACTAACACAGATTCAGATATTTTAAACAAAATAAAATCAACCAGAATGTTTAATACTCTCTGACTCGCTTTCTGTGTTGCAGGTGGTAAAGATGATGATCATCGTGGTGGTGACCTTTGCCCTCTGCTGGCTGCCGTACCACGTCTACTTCATTGCGACGGGGCTCAACAAGCGTCTGGTCAAGTGGAAGTACATCCAGCAGGTGTACCTGTCGGTGCTGTGGCTGTCGATGAGCTCCACCATGTACAACCCCATCATCTACTGCTGCCTCAACAGCCGGTGGGTTCAAACATCAAGCTTTCCAACCAGCGGGGGGAGTTTTGAGAAGTATGCCACCAGGGTTTTTGTTATGTGTGCTTTGGATTGTGAGTTGGAATCTTGCTTCCCACAGATGTCATTGGATCCAGTCAGACTGGTGTGTGGAGTGGGTAATAAGCCAAGACTCTTTCTGAGTAGATTGGGTTGCCAGCTGCTGTCTGGAAGTCTGTTTTCTGGGAGGGTGGCAGCTTAGCATAAACATAGCATTTTATCCAGTTGAGAGCTTTTAGTCACTCATGATTCTCATGATGCTAACGGTTGTATCTCAACAATTCTCATGAATTAGATAGCATTTTAAAAAAGAGGAAATGCTAACACAATGCATTAGTTATGTGTTACTTGGATAAGTTTTAATTTTAGTGAATTATTCTGTACATGCTGTACTCATTCTTCCCTGCAAAGAAGAAAAAGAAGAAGAAAAGATCATTTCTATAGCGCCTCTCAAGGTAAAAACCACGAGGCGCTTCACAAAAACAAAAAAATGTAAAAATATAAAAAATAATTTAGAAAATGATTAAAAATATGTTTAAAATGAACAAAAAATAGACAATTGTGATTAAAAATGTAAAGAAAGAGAGAGAGTGAACAGGAAAGAGGGAAATCAGTAGATCCTGAGGAAGGTGGAATAGGTGGGGAGAGCAGAATAAAGAGAGAGAGGTGAAGAAGGTCATACAAAAGCCAGCTTGAACAAGTGAGTCTTCTGCTGCTTTTTAAAGGAGACCACTGAGTCCACTGATCTCAGGCTCAGGGGGAGAGAGGTCCAGAGTCTGGGGGCCACAGCAGCAAATGATCTGTCACCTTTGACCTTTAGCCTGGTGCTCTCAGGGCCGGATTATCATTGCAGGGGCCCCTGGGCGCAATGTGCCTAGTGCCCCCCCCCCACCCCCACCCCCCACCCCCCGGGTGTTGCGGCCGGCACGCAGCGAGCACTCCGCTGTTTTTGCGGTCGGTGTCTTTTAGAACTGCAGTTCAAAGGTAACTCATGAGGTATATGAAGCCAGAGAGCAGTTTTTTTTTAGGATTGAGAGGAGATGCAGGAAGATAATGAACAGAGACAGGACAGAAAAATAGTCAAATAAAAACAAGTTAGTTTTTGTACCTGATGGTTGCAACAATCAGACACCATTGCAGGTAATTAGAAGTGAGAAACATCAGTGAGTTTGCGGCCACTGCGCCGGGGGGGGGGGGGGGGGGGGGGTGCTGAAGCAGCTGGGGAACAGTAAAGATGCAGAAACTACCATTGTTAAAAGAAATGTGTGTTAACTTAGAAAATGTGAGCGCATTTTTAATTACTTGTCAACTTGTTTCTCCAACGTTAAGACAGCTGCACACACACACAAAAAAAAGACTGCTGCTCGCGTGGGCCCCCGGGCCTGTGCCCAGTTTGCCCATATTATAATCCAGCCTTGGGTGTGCTGCACAACCAGTAGGCTTTGGTCACTGGACCTGAGGGACCTGCTGGGGGTGTAGGGACTAAGAAGATCACCAATGTAAGATGGTGCTTGTCCATGTAAGGCCCTATAGACCAGAACCAGGATCTTGAAATGAACCCTGAAGTTGACTGGCAGCCAATGAAGCTGGAGGAGAAGCGGGTGATGTGGGTGTGTTTGGAGGACTTGGTCAGAAGCCGAGCACAGGCGTTCTGAGCCACCGAAAGGTCGACCTAAGTGCTGATGTGATTTTGACACAGCTGAACTCCACCTGACATTTAGGTGTGTCACTAAATGTGCACGTTTCTGCAACATCTGGACGTCATCTCCTGCCAGTTTGAAGTGATGGTTCAAAAGCGGGTTTCTGTGGAAAGGTTCTAAGAGGTTCTGAACATGTTACCTAAATACCAGACAGCTCTTTAAAAGACCTCAGTGTAAAGAAGTTGATGAGTCAATGGCTGATCTGATGTCTTGAACCAACTTCAGTCTATTTTACTGTAATTCTTCTGGACATTAATTTGTAAACCTTAACAGTGAAATGAACTTTTCATTACACTTCTGCTGCAGCCTGGGTGAAATCTAGCAGGAATATTTTAAAGACTCTGCCAGAATACGTTTGCTTTGAGAAACTGACAGCTGCAGCTTAGAAAATCGAAATTTGATTTAACTGCTGTTATTGTTGATTTTTGTTAGATGGTTGTTTTAAAATTTGTATTGGACCCACTAAGACTAGCTTGTTTGTCCATCTGGTCAGAATTAATTTTCTTTTTTCTAAACTGAGCTCATTCAGGAGCTATCTACAACTGGTCAAAATGATGATTGTGTCAGGTTCAGGGTACCTGGACCCAAATATTCATCCAACACAGAGAATGGAGCCAATAATACAAGCTTGTTTAATGCAGGAAAAATAGAATACTTGGCTTCACAGCATTGGAATGACCTGATTACACAAACTTGACTCACTTTAGTTTAGTTAATTAAAGGAGCCATACACTCGTTAGTTCAGCTGTGGTCTTTAGTTGGAATGAACGCCTTATGAGTTGTTTTCTGTGGGATAAAAATCTCTGGCGCTCCTGTTTCAGGAAGTAGATTTTAGTCAGAGGAGTTGGGGGTGGAAAACGTGAGGAGCTGAGATGAAAAATGAAAGTAAACACAGGCAGTAAGTTTTGCTTTTGTTAACAGAACCAGCTGAGATGATAAACTGGAGTGATGAAGAGATCCAGGAGATTCTCTCCGTTAGAGCTGGAGACCGTTCACAGGGACAGTAGAGGACAGACACCTCTAGGAGCGGCTTGTCCAAAAAACTTAATGAGCGCAGCTTCAATTGCAATAAAAACCAAGTTAAGTCTAAGATAATTGGAAGCAATGCAGAGACCGCACCCGTAACCCCTTTATACCAGCATTGCGTAATCCTTGATAAGAAAGAACACGACTGCGCCCCATTAGCACCACATTAGCATCACCACGTATACTTGTCTGACCACTTATAAACGACCGGAAGCTCCCTGATGACTCCTCAGCATTGCAGCAAATTGGTGTCATTGTTTACTAAAATAGGCTTCAGATCTGTGTAGCTTTTTCTGGCCTAGCGTTCCCCCCAATTTACTTTTGGCGGCTAATGCAGGAAATATGGGTAGAAGACCATTTTCACTTTAAGCATGCATATGAAATTTAACATGACCGAATGTATTTCAAAAAGAACAAATGTCCACGTTTCAGTGAACCTCATCTTGCTACAGCGAAAGCAATTGCTATTCTTTCTGGGGTCTAAGAAATTTTCAGTTATTTTTTCCACACAGGACAACAATTGAAAACAAACAGCTCTACAGTAAACTTGTGATTTGACCGTAATGAACATTATAAGGTTCACAATCGATCATCATTGCATATTTAAATGACCAGTTCCACCACTAGGGGTTAATAATGACAACTTGACTTTGTACATGTGTCTTTTTCCACGACTGTTAACTCTTCCTCCTCTCACCTGCTGTGGCTCCAGGTTTCGGGCTGGTTTCAAAAGGGCTTTTCGCTGGTGCCCATTCATCAAGGTGTCCACCTATGATGAGCTGGAGTTACGGTCTACACGGCTGCACCCAACACGTCAGAGCAGCATGTATACGCTGACACGAATGGATACCACAATGGTTGTGGTGCACGACCCCGTGGAGGGGAACGGCGGTGCTGGAGCAAGGAAGCACTCTCTGCCTACGAGGAAGAGGAGTTACATCTCCTCTTGCCACACAGAAATCACTGGCTCCAATGACAACGGAGCAAAGGTGCAAAACGGAGTTGCACCAAAAGCTGAACTTGAGGAATTCTCTTGAAGATTAAATTTCCCCTAAATGTTTTACTGTAAATGATTCTTAAGACATGCATCATACTTTCTAAATACTAGCCATAGTCATGGTGACTGTAGATATACAATGAATTTCTTGTGCATGATGTACAAACCAAAAATCTGGCCACAAAGTTGATCTAAAAGGACCTAGTTCGGATTATTCCGGTATGACAGAGTTTACAACTGTGGAAACTGTGAGCTGACTGTGATCCAGAGAATGGGGTGTGCATTTGTCTGCCCTGTGGCCATGAATCGGAGTCTTCAATGGAATCGCTGCTGATTGAACTCTGTCTGGCCTCATGTGTGGACTGGACTTTGACTTTCAGTTATGTAACTATTGTACAAAATATGTCCCGCTGGCTGGAAAAAAACCAGAGGAGATGTCCAGTGTTCATTTACAGCTCATCCAAGGCTGAAGCATATTCTCACTCAACACCAACTAACCAGTTTTACTTTTTCAAAAACAAAATGCTTCTTTAGTATATATACTTTTATTGGGTTAACTGTCCAGAAGTATGACAGCATTGGGTTACCGTTGCTGTTTTTAGGCCAGTTTTTCTGTCGTAATTTAGTTTGATTCACTTCATTTGTGCAAATTTCATACTGGTTTGGTCAATAACTTTTTTCACGTGAGCAAACACACATGCACATTTTTGTTCATAGGAAAGCATTTCTATCTATACAAATAATGTATAAAGTTAAGGGTTTCTATAAACGCATCTTATTGAGAGATTAGATGTTTTTTTTATTTTATCAGTCTCATTAAGAAAACAAAAATGGCAAGTCATCCCATCTCATGTCTTATGGTTCCTTAAATAGATGTAAATTAACCCTTTACAATGTAAATATTATTGTTTGGCCACGACCGATAGACAGAGCTCAGTTAATGGGCCAAACGTATGGTTTCTTTTTAAACGGTCCTCACATGCAATTGGACAACGTTAGGACCTATCAGAGCAACGAATAACGTAACATATTTATCGCCACAGTAATCAGTCCGCCATACACTGTCGAAGAAGAAGCTAATGCAATATTTTTCTAAATAAATGACTTAAGTACCTCTATCTGCTCATGTCTCAAAGAAAAGCCCAAATCTGAACTGTTCAAAGTTGATGCCAAAGCCGTTTCAAAGAGCGCAGCTTCTGAACCGGCACCATCTTTGAAGTTTTTCCCTGATCTGGTGTTAAGCCTGTCTAACAAATGTAGAGCGCTACGATCATCGACATAAATATACGATTAGCAAGACACAAAGCTGCCCGGGGCAACTGACCTGCAGAGCAAAATCTTTTGCTGCTTCTACGGCAGGTCTAGCGCTCTTGGCTAACAATATCAACAAAGATGTCCAAGTGAGGTCATGCTGAATTCATTAAAGTAGAGATCACTGCATAAACACAGTCTACCAGATAGGGTTGGGGTTCATACCCAAACTAATGAGTTGTTCTTGCCGACCAAGAATCTTTAAATCTGGGAACACGTGACTTCCCCCCCCCCCCCCCCCCCCCCCCCCCACCAACTCTAACAACAAAACTTGTTTAAAAAGCTGTAAAAAGAACAAAAGAAAAACATGAAACAAATGATGAATTGTGCCTAAATTATAAACGTTGTAACTGTTGGTTAATTTCTGTAAGTGATAAAATTCCAGTACAACTTTGCTTTAACTGTTATCTAAAACAAAAACAGTACATAGCTATTTTATAAACTAACAAAAATAGCAATTAAGAGAAAAAAAAGTATTTTAGTTTTATAACGCTTTTGAATAACAGATCTTCTTGCTAAAATTTGTATTTGTCCCCAGTCACTCATCTAATGAACAATTAACCCTCCCACTGTCCTAATGGGTGTGACCCCGTGAGGAAAGTTGACCATTGAGCAGGGTTGATGGTTTATCCCTTGGGTCCACGTGGCAGGGGTGAGGAGTGAGCACCACCTCACCCCTGCCACGTGGACCTCAAGGGATAAACCATCAATCCTGCTCAGTGGTCAACTTTCCTCACGGGGTCACACCCATAAAGACAGCGGGAGGGTTAAAGAGCTGACTACAGAATAGGTGTGAATGCTCGGAGACTTAATGAAAGTATAAACACAAGAATGTGAAGAAAAACCTGCATTTACGTTTATCCATCTCTAAGTTGTTATCTAACTGTGATGAAAGGTGGTGAATAGTTTGTAAAAGTCCATTTTTACTCTGTACAGGTGTTTTTGAATGTACAGTACGACGTGTGCCTCTCTGTGTCAAATAGTGACTTAAATAATACGTCATGTTTTCAAGAATGGTTCGTTTATTCAGCTTGAGGCTCGTCTGTTTTTCATTTAAAATATTTTATTGTCATCACAATAAAATACAGTTAATATACATTTTTATTTAGCAGAATTGTAACAAACCCACAGCAGCAAAAGAAACTAAAACTCAGGTTGAAAACGCCGTTAAAGCAGTTCGTAGAAGTTGTGAGATTATTTTTGAAGACAGATTACAGTTTTAACAATCACTGCAGATGGAAAACTCCTGGACCTCATGATGCTGACACTCACTAATGTTTTGTTTCAGTATTCTACATCATATTTCTTGTTGTTATTTTATGTACAACATAGTAGTAGGCGACACAGAAGAAAAATAATGTTGAGTTTAAAATGAAAGTGCTTTAAAAAAAAGTTAAGGCATAATTTCCGGAATAAAAGTCAGAATATACAGAAATAAATCAGATGTTGGCTATTTTAAGAGTGGCCCGCAGAAGCAAATCACATACTTTTTTAGGTTTTTTGTCATCGCAGCTGAGTGATATTTGCGTGTTTTATTGAGAAATCTCTTTAATCTTTAATTTAAAAAAAGAAAATACATATTTTGGGAGCTCAAAGAAGTTTCATCCTTCACAAGCCGGCAAAAGAGAATTATTATTATTATTATTATATTTTTTGTATATTTGTATGCTTTCACTGAAGTGCCAGAATCAATCCATGCTTCTAAGGCAGTTTCAGGGTTAGTTTATGGAAAGTGTCCTACTGATGATGTGGGCACTTACGAGAAGAACAATCTTCTGGATTTCTTGGACTGCGGGGTTTTATTATTATTATTTTTATTATTATTATTATTATTATTATTATTATTATTATTATTATTATTATTATTAATTCTCCAGTGAAACTCATCCTGCAGTCTATAACCTATATTCACATTTTGAGTGCAGATTGCAACGTAAGTGTCATGTTCTGTATCCTCGTGGTCTCCAGCCCCCTCCTGGTTCCCCTCATGTGTCCTCTAATCTTCTGTGCCCCCCTTTTGGTCCCCAGCTTCTTCAGGTTTACCTTTAGTCACTTCACTTATCATTGGTTTATTTATCTTTAGTCTTTGTTCCAGGGGCGGATTTAGGACTGAAGAAGATCCGGGGCTTAACACACACACGCGCGCGCGCACACACACGTGACACGCACTAGTCAACATCATATACATTTGTCTTGTACCACATAATTTTTAATCTGAAGCTACATATTCAGCATATTCAGGGCAGAGTATTGTTCCTGTTAGTGTTTAGTGTGAGATGATAGTAAATATTCCCTTTCTTTCTCCAACAACTTTACCTGATAGTAAGCTAACTTTAGGCAAACCAGCAGCACAACAAATATTTTCAAATAAGACTCACAAACCTGAGTCAGCACCAGTCTCATCAAAGCTGGGGTTCTGTCGTTGTACTTTTTTGTCTAAAAAAACGTCCTTATGTCCATCTTCACTCATGCGTTTCAGGCAGAGAGTGCAGAAGAAGCCGGCTGCTGAAGGGCTTCTTCTTCAGTGGTGGAGGCTCAGGCAGGCTGTATACAAACTACTGCCAGCTGCTCCCTCTCTGTTGGACTTTGGTACTGCATGTTACTTCCACGATTTAGATCCGGGGCTTTTCATAAAACATCCGAGGCTTCAGCCCAAGTAGCCGGGCCTAACGCCACCCCTGGTTTGTTCTAGAGTGTTTAAAGTTCAGGTTATTTTAGTAGCTTTGTTTTAGGATTTAGATATGGTTTTCTCCACTGCTTATTTCTGCTTCTTCCCTCGGTTCATTAGTTTAACTTGTGCCCAATTCCCCACACACCTGCTCCTCGTCTCCCATCACCCAGCCTTGTGTACATAACCCTGTCTGTGTCTCTCAGTGTTTGCCGGTCCATTGTCGTTGTCAGTGTTGTTCTGTTCCTCCTCGTGAAACTCTAGGTTTCGCTCATCAAAGAGCCTTTTGTTTTTGTCAGTCGGGTTACTGACTTTAGGCTTGGCTTCCTGCCCTTTTTGGATTTTAGAATTTTGGACTCTCTTCCTAAATAAAGGTTTTTACTTTGATTTCGCTCCTGCCTTGTGTCGTTCTGGGTTTCTGCATCTTGGGTCCTAACCTCCTCCTGGCTCAACGTGCCAGTAAGGTTGTCTAAAAACTTTTGACATTAATCTCGACACTTCCTCCTCATTATTTTTCTCTGGCTCAGTGTAACGTTGTATATATGGCGCTGTTTACTCCACTCCAGACATTTTGAAACCAGATAGTTTGTGCTGAGTTCCCACACCTGCTATCCTGAGTTTCAGGTGAACAAAAGTGATGGAAAGGAAAAATAACTTTGGAAAATTGAAACAAATCAAAACTGAGTTTTTGGGGGTAAAACAAAAGTGACTGAATGCTTACGGATGCATAATACACTAGAAACCATGACATCATCATCACCCTGTCTATGAATTCAAATGTGCTCAACGTGGATGTTCTTGCCATCTTTTAGTGATGTATGACTATTTTAGCATTTTTATTAAAATTGTTTGGACTGAGATGTTTTTGTAAATAAACAAAAGCAAAAAAATCCAGTTAACAAAAATATCTGGAGTAATGTGAACAGAGCATACAAGGCTTCATATAGCTCTGCATCAGTATTAGTGTATAAGCTTTAAGCAGCTTTGCAATGGTCTTTTTATGGTGACATGTTTACAAGTGTGTGTGTGTGTGTGATAAAATGTAGCTGTGACTTATTGCAAAATGAGCATGGTGTTTTGTTTTGGTGTCAATTGTGAAGAAAAAACAGCGAAGAACGCCGCAACGTTGAAATATCTGTTTATTGGTACTGTTCTAGTTTAGACCAGCTCTAAATACTTCATGGAACAAATTGCAGTCGTGCTTGCTGCTTCTACGATTCCCACATTTCTTGGTCACATGAGAGATGTTTCTGGTTAATAAAAAGAGAAAGCAATATGAGACTTGTTTCTGGGGTGTATTCTGGGTCTACTACAACTTTCTTTTGTTATCTAGGAAACTGAAACACAGTGAAATGACTCCTCTTTACCGACAGTCATCGTATTAGAAATAAAATAAATAAGGTGCCAATTTACATTGATGCTGCTGTTATAAATGGCTTTTACATCATTTATAAATAAGTTATTGTGTCATTTTGAAAAAAAATCACTAAAAACATTTTTTATTAACTTATTATTGTAGCTTTCCGGAGTTTTCTACTTTCAGAAATTATGAATGGCTTTTCAGAAATCTGTAAAAGGGATTATCTTATCATGTACTGTGATGGAATGGAAGCAATACGTCTATTATTTTATTTTTATTTATTTTTTGCTAAGCACGTCCCCTGTCCCGCAGAGCTCCGTGCAATAGAAAACTGAGAACTAACCAATAATGTTAGACTACCGCTTAGATGCTTCCAACTTAAGGAATACCTCGGCTGATGCAGAGTTGATGAACTTTTCGCAGACAAGAAAGTCTTCAAAATCTAAATATATGAAAACACAGCATGACATGAGACGAATACTTGAAAAACAACGTGTTTTAGCTGTATTTGTCAGCTACAGAAGCATGTTTATAAACAGAAACGTGAAGTTGCCGTTTTAAAAAACAGAGCGACAGACTTTTTGTGTGATATGCTTGTCAGCCACTAGATGGTGCCATCGGATAAGAGAAATATTCCGGAAAAAGACTTGTCTTCCTGTCAAGAATTGACAAGAGTCAGCAAAATCCATTCTAAAAATGTTTACAAATGCTCATTCATGATTTATAAAGTGTTACAAGTTCACTAAGAAACCGGTTTTTTGCTTTAACTTCCTGAGTTTAGCATGAAGGCTGAACGTGAAAATAGTCTTCTACCCTTACTTCCTGCATTAGCAGATTAGAAAAGCCTGACAGATCTGTGTCACATTGAAAATTAGCACTCATGGACTCAACCATCTTGGCTTCTGACGGGGAAGGCTGTTGTTGCTTTAGTGTCCAGGAGTGAGCAGAGCACACCTCGGCTAGTAGAAGCTAACTGTTAGCATTAGTAACTCCAAAACACGGCATAATTCATTCAGTCTTGTGTTATTTGTGGAAATAAAACTTTAACCTTGCAGAGCAAATGGAGTAAGTGGTAGTCGAGCTGCTGTCAGCCAATCAGAGGTAAGATGTCCAAAAATCAGAAAATAGGACTCCAAATCCAGTCATTTCTGTTCCCCTCTCCTCTGGTTCATGTCTAGCTCCTGAAACAGGAGTGTCA